ATTTCACTAGGTTAGACTTCAATCTTTGGATAGCGAATGGTACAAGGGTTTGAAAAAAAAGAATTGTTTTGGCCTTAATCATAATGAAAGGCTTTCATATCGCGATGAAGTTGTTGCACGCTCAAAAACTCTCAACAGAACTATAATTTTCTTCTCAGTTACATAGAAATTTTTTTTGTTAGCGTGTTTTATTTATATTGATTATTCATTTACGATTTTCGTTGATAATTAATGCAGAATTGAATCGTGCACCTTTTATTTTGCGGAAGGTGAAAGTTATATCTTCAGAGCGACGACAGACCGGGATTGATATAACTTTGATGAAAATGGAGAAAAATTTACTTAAGTAGTGATTTCCGACGCGACAGATCAATGAAAATCTTTACCATAGAATTAAGCCCAATACATTTAACTCGCTAATCTTGATTGCCATTCTTGAAATTCAAAAAAAAATTCTCGTGGACCTTCCGTCTTAGAGTATGTAGTGAGTTTGGTAGGGCAATAAATACAGCACGTTTTCAAACATTAGAAGAAAGCGAAACGATTTTCATTGTGCCGAAAGCGGCTTTGTTCGCTAAGCAAGAAATTATGCGAATATTTTGCAGATTTACGATTTCTTAGATAAATAAGTTCGCTTCTTGTGCTCTATACGCATAAAGAGAGCACAGTGGTAGTCGATTTCAGCTATAATTGGCTATGGCTTCAGCTATAATTCGTAGAAAAAGTTCTGGGGAGACGGCCCTTCTGTACCGCTAGCCCTAGCAGCCTAATTACTGCGCGCTTCTGATTGGTTGGCGTTGCCGTGAGAGAGCTACGCTGTCGTTGGAGACGCAGGCGCTCTCAAATTGGCAGAGTTAGGTAAAAGTACCTTTTCAAAGAGAAGAATCGAAGAAGAACTTGGGTTCTGACAGAGGAATCAGATTCAGCACATGGGTGGCTTACATAGATTTACAGCTTACATGTGCAAATTTTGCGGTGATTTGGAGAACTGTAATGAGGAAATTACGAAATGAAGAGTAAAAAAACTCAATCTTTCCCAATTTTTGTTTTCTAAAACATCGGCACTATTACCGAAAATGTGCACTCGCTTCCTTTGAGACACCCCGAAATGTTCAAAAACTGTTAGATCATAAGAAAGACAAAGTGATTACCGCCGCTCTGGGGCAGGGTAATTAGCGCTAGGACGGAGCGGTTCAGAAGGGCATACACCCAAAGTTCTGCAATGTTATTTGTGAAAAAAAGATGTGTCCTCAAAAGGTAGTAACCGTATTTTGTAAAAATCGTATTGTATTAGGATGGAAAGGAAAGAATATATAGTATGGACCCGGCCAGCTTCCCATAGGTACCATCGCGTCGCATACGCAACGCGGGCCCGACTTGACGGCTTTTCATTTCACTTATGAACACGAAAGCACTTCTACTTGAAAAAGGAGTGAACTGAGAAGTGGAAACTTCTAAACAAAACTTGAGAAAAGCCAAAGCATTAAGAGGACGTTCATAACTTTTCCTAGCGCTCAAATTTTAGGCATCTCATTGACGCTAGTATAACACTACAAGTGATGGGTAGGGGGACCAGGAAAAGTCGAGGAACACTTTTGAAACGTTGTTCTTCTGTGGCCGCAAAAACTAGAAGGTTTGAGATAGAGAACAAAAGGTTAGAAGCAAAGCCCTAACGGCGCATCATCAAAAAAGCCTGGAAACATCTCTAATAAAAATAATCGGATATACAGGCTTATCCTGTAATAGCAGCCATTGAAGAGACATCCCCATATACTACATCCAAATCTTCACCGTCGAGAAAAAAGAGATTTTAGATTGAAAGCGCTCAAGACTGTCAAGTCTCTTGAAAACTCATAAACGGCAGTTGTCGTGAGATTTTACACCTGAAATAGAGAAATTAGAGAACAGAACAAAGTCACTTAATAGAGAAAAGCAAAAAAGTCCAATAGAGTTGAGACGAAAAGCGCACTAAAGGCATGCGCTGCGCGCGCGTCGCGGAGGTACCTATGGGAAGCTGGCCGGGGTTTACACTATAGTTTGTCATAGCAAAGCAACAAGACGATTAAAAAACACAAAATATGTGAGGGGTACCGTTCGATACAGCAAACAAAGCATAAGAGGACCTCTAAACAATAGCAAAAACCGTGATTTATCCGATTTCTGGAGCCATGACATGAGAGCAATTTATGATGCCAAAAATCGATTTTCGCCCAAAAAAATGCTACGAATCTCATGCTTGCTCCTGCCTGTAATAGACACATGTAACCGTTCATTAGTACACTTGCTGTATTTTTTTCATGTTTAGAAATCAAGAGAAAATTGAAAAACGGAAAGCGATAAACTCCGCCTTCTGTAGTCCTGAGCTCCTCCCAAGTATGCCGTTATATATTACAAACCTTTGGAACTTTAACCTTAGAATTTTGGGTTTGATATGCCTTAGTTCCTGACAATTGTCGGACAAAAACAGAAAAAAGGGACATTCTTCTCTTTCCAACCTAATGAAAGGGCTTCTTTTTCTAAGTTTATGGGGGATATTTATGAAAGACACAATAAAATGGTGTCCGTGCACTTCTATGGATAATGCGATAATGTTTCAAAAAAATCCTATTTCTAAGCTAGATGGAAAACTTACCGTTCGTGGGTAGTTAGAATGATATGAATAGTAAGGATCTGTTTGCAAGAATTCTGGCGAATACCAGATGCGTTAAGTAAACAGAGGAAACACTCACTAATTCCCAAGTCGACAGACGGAAAAAACCAAAGCACAGAATTCAACGTTCAGATCGGTATCGTCAAAGCTGTTGTTGTGCTGAAAAGCAGTTTTTAAAAATTAAATTGCTTATTTGAGGATATGTACATAGAAATTATGATGTTAGATTGTGTAATTGGCTATAATGGACTGGCTTAATATAAAAACTGAATATTGATGATGAAGAGTTTCTCACAATTTTGCTTGTTACAAAAAAACTTCATCCACAAAAATATCAAGCTTTTAGACGACTTGAAAGAAAAAAATTTTGAAACTGCTTCAAAAATATTCCCAACCATGGCTTCTAAAATCGACATGACAAAAGGCATCAAAACGAAGGAAGAAAGAATAAAAGTGTGCTCCAGTTTTCTGAACTGGATAATGTTCAAAACAATAAAAGCCGTACGTCAAAGTCAAGAAAAACGATTGATAGAGAACAGCCGAGCTTTTGCTTCCTTTTCTGGCTACAAAAAAGTTTTCAACAGACAAGGAAAGGAAGGTTGGTCGAAGTGGCCTTTGAGATGAGATGTACAACATCTTGTGGAGCTTGAAGCGCTGATTGCAAATCTACTGCTATCTGCGGGCTTCCGAGCGAGGAGTTATGAAGGTTTTTGTGAGCAAAAATCCAAATGCAAGGTAAGTACAAAATCAGTCGCAACCTTTTCTTAACGTTCAAATGAGGCAGCAGCGAGTTTAGTTGAAGAATATTTGTTGCACGTGTGGCAGTCAAGCCTCAGAGAAAATGTTACGACTAATTTTACACTAATTTTACATATAACTTTACAAACAAAAACCTTCATAACTCTTCGCCCAGAAGCCCACAGCAGATAGCGAAGGCAGATTTGGAATCGGCGTTCCAAGCTCTGCAAAACATTATACATTTCATTTCAAAAGACACTTCGACCAATCTTCCTTCCCTTGTGAGTACCCTGACAAATCACTTTTTTTTTTTCAAACCTACAGACTATAGCAATCAGCTAGTCCAAGCCACGCAAACTTTTGGTCCGTTCGGTCCCATCGTGAATAGGTCATCTGCTTAATGATGGCCTTACACGGAAAAAATATTCCAGATCGCTTTTCAAAACCTGCAGTCTGTGCAATTTGAAGTACTCTAATGTGCTTGTTACCGAATGCAGTAGGTATTATATAGCATTTTTATGTCGTCCTCAATTCATGATATTAACCCCTTCAATGAACATATCATTTTTTGAAATGGTATTGACCCCAACTTGCCTATAGTATGATCTTACAAAAAATTCTTTACGGTTGAAAAATTCCCTTTCGCAAGAACTTGCACTTGGCACCTTCTTAGGAAGAACATTTAAAATTGAGGTACGCGATATTAACTTAGCGATAAGAATTAGGTCGACATGAACTCCAACGTCTCAGGCTGTACATAAAAAATTCTTTTCCTCAATTTACAAACTTTTGATTTGCAAGCTTTACAACTTTTTGGCAACACGAGCTCTTCGTTCCAGTTCATGACAGCGTTATGGCATCCTGATTTGACTTGCCCTTTCTGAATGTTTCTCTCGAACAGCTTGTGCTGAATGCACACCCTTTAACAAAAAGGTTATATCTATGCATAAGGCTCTTATTAGCGGGTGTAGAGACTCTTCGAGAGTTGTGGGCCTCGTATTGCAATGTTATACTGTAAAAGATTAGCTAAAATTGGTGGTTCAGTGGTTTATTGGATTACTGGGTAGTGGGTGGTGATAGTGGGTGACCTCAAATGGTCAACTTGTGATCAAGAGTGGCGATGGTAACTCTGGGAAAGTTCTTCCATGAAAGTTCAGTATCCCTTCATCCATTTCTGCGCTTCCATAATGTTTCCAATTTTACATTTATTGAACAAAGAGATGCTGAAATTTCCATAACACTGGCACCTTTGATTGAAGGCACATCAACGATATTGTCCCAGTGGAAAAAATGTTGTGCCACCCATTTCGGAACGCTGTGCTGACAAGGGAGAGCCCCAACTAGAAATGACAGTGATAACCACATAATCTGAGGAAACGCTTATTTACTAATTTGCTTTCTGACAAGATTATGCTCGGTTGGAATGATGAACATCGTTGGTTCTGACTGATTGGTACAGGGCAAAACAATTAAGAGAAACACTTTCGAAGCATTCCAAAGTTTTCACGGATATAGAGCGGTTTGCCATTTTCTGGCAACGTTTCAGTGCAGTAGGTTAAATGTTGTTGCTAATAACAATGTGTTTCTTTTTGAAAGTTTTGCAGACGCCAAGATGTCATTTTTCAAGTTTTGTGTTGAAATCCTTGATTATACACCATTATTCTTTCTGTTGTTCTCGTTCGCGATTTCTACATTATTGTGCACAAACGAGCCTCCTGAAGTGATTCTATCAAATGAAAAAATTGAAAAGGTTCGTATTCTTTTTTATTAATGGTGCACAACTATGTAGACGCTCCAGAGCAATGAAGACCCTCCAGAAACTTCACCTTCACAAACAAATGTTAGGTGAGAAGGAAAGAGCAAGCTAACAAAAGAGGTTCGTTTAGCCGAAGTCTTTTCCAAATGGGTCCTAACCACTTCAAAGAGCATGCGGATTCCGAAACTTATCTCATTATATGCCAAGCGCCTCTGCATTTAGAGTCATGAATATTTCTTGGTGCGAAAAATGAAAGCATAATCTATGTAAAATCAGATATTACCGTCTTTACAGCGCTCAAATAGCGCAGTGTTAAGTATGAATGTTTTGGATAGAAGGTATTTTGAATGAAGTGGTCTGAAATTACTCAGATAATTTACCGGAACCAGAGCGAGCACAATTTGCAGCGGTTCCGCAACATTTTGTTTACTATTGCAAAAGTGGAAGCGTTGAACATGGGGACTTCCGCAGAATATTCGCGTTGACTGGATGAAAACAGGAACTTTCGTAGAGCTTTATACAGAGCGCTGCGGAACTTCCAAAAAATGTCGGCGGTTCCACAGCACTTTGACATATCAGTACTTCCGGTAGATTTTGAATGTGTTGTCTAATATGACGTTGCCTCGCCAACAACTAGAGGCATTATCGAACATGTCAGTCGTAGTGCAGAGGATAGTAGGTGAGTCTCACAGTCAATAGAGTAAGGCTCAAATCTCGCTTCGGTGTTCTCTTTTGCTATCGTACTTCGCATTCTTCGAAACTTCCGCAGCACCTCATTCGGGAAGTTCCGCAGCACGTTTACGGAACTTCCGCAGGTGAGCCGGCGGAACTCTCTCAAAAAGTTCCGGTCAGTTGTTTGAGTAACACTGGACCATTTGGGCAATTCTGACGGAATTTGTTCTAATCAAGCTTTTAGTTTTTCAACAGAGAAACGCTCATAGCTCAGTAACGTTTAATGCTCTTCAAAACCGTATAAGTTTTATGTGGAAAGGTCACTTCGACCAAACGGACCTCCCCCACAAGCTGATTTTAGAGCTGGTTAAATCCTTTTAAATTACTAGGTCAAGCGAAGCCAACGCCGAAGTTTGCAGTAACGTTCGTGCTCAAATCGAATCTAACGAGAATCAGTCGTTGGGTGGACCCTTGACTGATCGTGATAAAATTTTGGTGAGTATAAATTAACAAAACTTGGGTTTTGCTTCTCTGTATTTTCGACTTCGCAGCGCTTGCATTCCGATTCGAATTTACAGATGTTGCTGGACACAAACAATCTATGACGAACATGCAGCTGCTGATCTTTTCACAACATATCGTTCCCCAGATTAAGTTTTTTGCCTTCAAGTCTTGAATTCCACCACTGCGACAGTTGGGTCTATAAATACAAGCTACGCATTGCACAAGAAAGTTTCGTTTGATAAAGATATATTTTCTTGAGGAAGTCTCTAATCACCGAGCATCCAAGTGAAAATGTCCGCATGCCGATTCGCATAGAGGGGGTTGCGGACTTTTCCTGATTATAAGGGTAAACTTGTTATACCTCTACGTCAAAGTTTAGTTTTTCATACTCTCTCGCCATCAAAAACCGCCACGTTTTGAGCGGCTACGACTCCTCCTCTATACAAATCGCGGAGCCGATGATTGGAGTTGTCAAGTATTCTAACCACTCAAAGAGTAAGTGGAATATGAATCCTGCTAAAGAACGATTTTTCTCAGAATATTTCGGCACCGTCTAAGAATATTGATTTCTAGGGACCGCATTATGGTCGCTTTAAATCTTATCACAAAATGCTAATTATCACAAATGAATTGTAAATGACTACTCATGCTTTGAATTTCTCCATTTGAGATTGGCAACTTTGGTAGGAGCAACTTTTTTGCAGGAGAACAAGCGAAAATGAATCAGTTACAAGCCCTTAGAAGTATGACTGTAAATTTTCAGCTTACCAGAAGCACTAGTTTTTGAAAATACCGGATTTAGCTTTTTTCACTCGGGTTTTCAATGGTTAATTAGGTAATTTTCGAAAACTAGGGCTTCTAGAAAGCTGAAAATTTACCATTATACTTCTTATCGCGGATCGCGATGCAATTGAGCAAGATAGTGCATGAGAGTTGCAAACGATGACCCCTCAATACCAGTTGAGACGTTCACGGATCGCAATGCTTGTTTAATAAAAAGGCTAGTTGCGGAATGCCAAGGAATGAATCCACGATGCCAGATGCGACATTCTCTTCGACAAAAAGACCTCGGTCTACAGATAAAAACGACTGCAGCTGCAGAAGGGATGATGGAGCCAGCAAGCGAACGTCTATATATACTTAGTCATTGTTACTCATGCATTTTCCACCACTTATACTTATTGCTTATGTTGCCTTTCTATTCACTCATTCCTTGTACGTAAAAAGCCCATTGAAAAACACTCCTATCATATGTTTTCTAATCCCCTCTTGTACATTTCTTGCAAGTAATCCAAATTCACATGATATCCAAAATATCATTTTGGTCTGACATATCGTCATAGTTCCAACTATTTGTTAGGATATCCTCACTTTCTCATGTTGATTTGCTTCGTCGTTTATGTGTGTGTATACTTCAAGCAGAACGAGGGTTTAATTACCCAAGTTTGAGGTAATCGGCAATAAACGTGTGTCGTTCGTGTGGTGGTGGTTGGTGTGGTTCAATTGGCAAGGTTGTGGCAACCTTTTTATGGTGCATCGGTTATACGGATCTTGGCCGCAGGAAGTCAGTGAGTTATCGCATCGATTGCTTGACTGCTTGACTGGAGATTGTCTTGCAATATTCTACGTCGGTAGAACTCATCAGATTATCACGGATTTCAAAGCACAGAGAAATGGCGGGACCTACATTGTTGAAGGTAGCAAAAGCCCTTCTGACAAGATACTGTAACAACCTACAGCGCCTCACGGAGGAGAGTGAGAAGGCGCTGAAAACGGAGGAACTCAAAGTCTGGAACATGCAACAATCGCAAGAGGTTCAAAGAAAGGTAATGGAGTTAGAGGCAAATATCAATCTTGTATCGCAAAGTCTGGAAAAATTTGCCAACGTTGTTGACACCGTGATGGACTCAGTTACAGAAGAACAGGAACAACAAGTACAGGAATACATTGACAAGGCGCAAACAACCATTGATCAAGCCCAAAAATTAACGATACGGCTGGAGTCTGCAAGGATAAGCGCGCGTGATCACGCAGGAGACCCCACGCGCCCGACAAGTTCGTCTATGAGGGGACATGGAGAAGCACCCACGTCTCAGTTACCTCCTATTCCAGTGCCAACGTTTACGGGAGAGCTATGGGACTTCGAAAATTTTTGGAGACTATTCGAAGCAAACGTCGATCACCAACCACTCACCAAGCTACAAAAGTTCAACTACCTGATAAACGCTCTAAGGGGTGAAGCACGAGAACTAATAAATCGCTTTACGGTCACGGAGGACAATTATGAGGAAGCAATCGCGATGTTACGCCGAAAATATGGAGATAAATCTCGCCTTGTTGCGAAGCTCCAACAGCGTCTGGAAGAAACATATGCAGCTAATACTAGTACGACAGCACAACGACGTCTGTTAGAAACAATCATTCCACTGATTTCGCAGTTAGAAGCTCACAAAGTTTATCTGGATGGATCCTTTGCCGCACAGAAGCTGCTATCAAAATTCAGTGCTTCGATTCAGCGCAAGATCCTACAGCAGTACATTACTCCAGAGATGCAAGAAGAAAATTGGCACATAAAAGATATCATCACGGCGTTGGACGACTGCATATCAACGGAAGAGCGAATCAGTGAGATGATGACATACACGACAAACGCAACGAACACTTATACAAGAAGGACAAGAACGATACCTTATAGAGAGGTAGACATCTCAGCATCATGTTTGTTCTGTAATGATACAACTCACAGAATGGCGGCATGTGACAAACTCACTCTTGCACAAAGGCGCAAATTCTTCCAAGAGTCTAACAGATGTCTGAACTGCGCAAGTCAAGGGCACTTTGTGAAAGATTGTAGGAGTCCAGGATGCAGAGCATGCGTGGGTCAAAGACATCATCACTCTTTGTGTCCAAAAAGGAATGACAATGAAGGTCGACCACAAAAACCGCAAACTCAAACATTTGGGACAACTTGGAACTTTCAAAGGTCACCTCAACAAGATATCCTGCCATATTCGAAACCAACGGCTCGAACACATCTTCTCAGCGCAGAAGACCCCTCAGGAGAACCACTGACAGGACAAGAGACAAACAACGAAACTGCAACAGTTCTTCACGCAACACTATGCACAGAAAAAAGTCCAAATAATATGACGCAGACGAAACCACGGCCTAGGCAGCGAGAGAAGCCAGAAGACATGAAAACAACGACATCCGCAATCGATAGAGCAACATTATCAGGGGAGATGCCGTTATCAGGTTCAGATGCCGACTTGAACACACACCCACCAGTCAAAGTGATTTTCGCAAAAGCACCCTCAAAGCCTGCTAATGTGCACTTAAACAGTGATCTCTTCCCTAGCGAACTCCATACTATTGATATCAATCCTAATGCGAAAACTTCTGCGATACAAAAACCATTTCTAACAAAAGCAGCTGTAACTTCAAGCATTCATTTGGATGACGAAGAAGGTACGATACACAAAGTGTGGAAATGCTTTCTGAAATTCAAGAAAATCCTCGAACGGCAGCAACAGGAGATGCGAGACTTGATGCAAAGTATGTGCCACCACGCGAGAACCCTTATAGCACAGAACCAGCAAAATGGACGTGATACAACCCGACGAGAGATTCAGAAGAAGCTCAAAAACGTACAGAACGGGACCTTTCGCTCAAAACAGCACTCTTTGCAGTCAACTATGAAGAAGGAAGCAGAAAAGTGGAGGAAGAATTCGAAGAAGCAAAGCAGGCATTTCAAGCAGGTTTTTGCAGGATTAGAAGGAAAGTCAAACCCGGTGTCACTTGCTCAGAAGAAAAGCAGTAGTGAAGAGAGACGAAGAGGTATCCATTTAGCACTTGCAGTACCAAAGGAAAAAGAAGAAAATAAGCGAAGTCTCACAGTGTATACGAGAAAGCACACCAACAAAGACAACCTTCTTTATCAAAGAAGGTACAAATTGGTCGCAGTGCACAAGGGACAGATGACGAAGATCGAAAAGAACTCAAATTGCCTCTTTACTGAACCTTCCGGCATGCTTCAACAACGAATAACTCAGGAAACAGCATGGTCTACGGAGAGATCGCTCGGCAAAAATTCATCTTGGAAGTTTTGCGGTACAAGACACTAACGATTATTTTTGCAGGAAGTGCTCTGCTTGTGCTAATCATGTATTTGAGCATTCAAAGCCTAGAATTAACAGTTCCTTGGACCGTCATATAATTGCCAGGATAAGTTGCCTACCGATGCATATAATGGTGAAAATAGGAAGATGCCTACAAGGAACGCTTCAGCGCAGTTCGTGCCCCCACCAAAAAACAGTTCAAGGAATACGCTCTAGATGATTCTCCCGATGAACAAGTTCCAGGTAGTGGCGAACTTGCGTGGCCGGGAGTATCGCGGATCGCGATGCAATTGAGCAAGATAGTGCATGAGAGTTGCAAACGATGACCCCTCAATACCAGTTGAGACGTTCACGGATCGCAATGCTTGTTTAATAAAAAGGCTAGTTGCGGAATGCCAAGGAATGAATCCACGATGCCAGATGCGACATTCTCTTCGACAAAAAGACCTCGGTCTACAGATAAAAACGACTGCAGCTGCAGAAGGGATGATGGAGCCAGCAAGCGAACGTCTATATATACTTAGTCATTGTTACTCATGCATTTTCCACCACTTATACTTATTGCTTATGTTGCCTTTCTATTCACTCATTCCTTGTACGTAAAAAGCCCATTGAAAAACACTCCTATCATATGTTTTCTAATCCCCTCTTGTACATTTCTTGCAAGTAATCCAAATTCACATGATATCCAAAATATCATTTTGGTCTGACATATCGTCATAGTTCCAACTATTTGTTAGGATATCCTCACTTTCTCATGTTGATTTGCTTCGTCGTTTATGTGTGTGTATACTTCAAGCAGAACGAGGGTTTAATTACCCAAGTTTGAGGTAATCGGCAATAAACGTGTGTCGTTCGTGTGGTGGTGGTTGGTGTGGTTCAATTGGCAAGGTTGTGGCAACCTTTTTACTTCTAACGACTTGTAGTATGCAGCTACATAAATAGAAACAGCATAGCTTCGTTTTTGTAAAAACAAGAAAATTTTCGTCTTCTTGATTTCCAGATGAGGAAAAAATACAGCAACGGTATAAGTGATTGTCTGATATAGTGTGCAATTTTTATGAGCAAGCTGGAGATTTGTAGAATTTTTTTGAGCAGAGATATGAATTTTTCACGTTTTTTGACCCTTCAGTACGACCTCAGATTTTGGGCGCAAACTTATAGTGGGTCGAAGTTGGTGCCAACATTTGCATAGTGTCTTGTAGAGCTTGCATCGCTCTATCGAATGGTATCACGGAGCCTTGCCAAGAGTGTGAGGTGCATGACTTATCGCCATAAGAATTTGGAGTGTAACAAGACTTATGTAACAACCTAATAATAATAATAATAGTAATAAAAATAAAAATAAAATAATAATAATAATAATAATAATAATAATAATAATAATAATAATAATAATAATAATAATAATAATAATAATAATAATAATAATAATAATAATAATAATAATAATAATAATAATAATAATAATAATAATAATAATAATAATAATAATAAATAATAATAATAATAATAATAATAATAATAATAATAATAATAATAGTAATAATAATAATAATAATAATAATAATAATAATAATAATAATAATAATCATAACTTATAATAACGGGCTAAGGGTGTTTACATGTTTGTGTGTGTGTGTGTGTGTGTGTGTGTGTGTGTGTGTGTGTGTGTGTGTGTGTGTGTGTGTGTGTGTGTGTGTGTGTGTGTGTGTGTGTGTGTGTGTGTGTGTGTGTGTGTGTGTGTGTGTGTGTGTGTGTGTGTGTGTGTGTGTGTGTGTGTGTGTGTGTGTGTGTGTGTGTGTGTGTGTGTGTGTGTGTGTGTGTGAGTGTGTCTGTTACGAAATTCGTAGAGCAGGTTCCAGCCAACCTTTTTAGCCCAAATTTTGCATGGAGCATGCTACCAGCTCAAAAGCCCAATGCACAAAAGCACGAGCGGATCCGATGAATAGATCCTTCAAAAATTGCCCGCCAAGCGGATCCACATGGCTCTTGGCCCGTGGAATTGGGCCTGTATTACAATCTCTTGCGAATTTTGGATTTATGCCACATGCACATCCGTACGCTGAGCGTTTCAATGCAAAAATTCTCAAAAAAATTCATTCTGACGTGGAGGCAGCGCCAAAATGTGAATTTTGAGTAGATCCTAGATTTTTGAACGTTCTACTGAAGGAGCTGAGGAGATTTTTTGCTCAGAAATGCAGTACGGAATCGTCGTTGTCATCGTGGCAATCGTTACATTATTAGCAAACCAGGAACTATTTCAAAAACGTATTTAGTCTTGAGCTGCAAATTTTTTTTTGCCCAACATCACCGACTTCTTATGTTAGGGCATTCGAAATGTGTAGTTCGTAGTAATTCATTTGTGATGCGCGGCATTACACGGTGAGTTTCATTTTCAAAGAAAGTGAAGCAAGATGCATTGCGTGACACAAGTGCATGTGGTGTATTTAACTGAAGCAACGTAATCGTAGCTTTGCTTCTCTCTTCCTCTCAGCAAGTCACCTCAGTGATTGCAGCGAACGAGATGTTGCGAGCACGTGTACGTGCTGCGTCAATCCACGAGCACTTACATTCTGCTAAGTTTTATTTTCCATAAAGAAAGTAAGTGAGAGAAGTCATGTCAGAAGGCTAGATCAAGCAAGTCTAAATAGTAGCAGTCGAATGGCGGTAAAGATTTGTTTGAAAGCCTTTGCAAACATAGTATTTTGCCTGATACAGAAGATTTCACGTCGTATGGGACAAAAGGAGTGATGAGCTTTGATAAATATATGCTCGAAAGTTGATAGATTTCTACACTTACGAACACCATCTGCTGTTTTTGCATTAACATCAACTGTAGCAAGTTTTCAAGCAATAAGTGCATATGACAAAGACGCTTATAAGGAGTACATGAACCCATTACATAGTTCCGAGAACACGGCTGCCAATTGAAGCGAACCAAAAGTCAACATTGAAACCAAAGTCTACTGTGGCAGTGGTTTCAACGCAATCGAATTATTCGAGGCGTAGGTCCTCATGATTTTTTGTTATTAGATCAAAATTATTATTGGCTCCCAAGTTGGGCGATTGGGCGAGATTATAAGGCGCAGTGATCAAGTGGAATTGGTACGCTCTCAGATCAGACAGCAGCTAGCCACTAACCGTCTTGCCTCAACCAGTGAAAAATTCATACCATTTCTCATTGTTGTCCGCACCGCTTTTTGTTTAAGATCTAATGAACTGTCATGACTTATAATAAGCGGCTAAGGAAGTTTACGTCTTTTTGTCTGTATGTGTGTTGTGTGTGTCTGTCCGTCACGAAATTCGTAGAGCGTGTTCCAGCCAACTCCTGAGTCCAAATTTTTAGCGCACGCTACCAGCACGAGAGCTCATTATACAAAAGCATGAGCGGATCCGTTGAGTGGATCCTTTGAAAATCGCGCGTCAAACGGATCCACTCACTTTCTCTGGCCAGCAAATTTAGGTCCGTAGTACTACTTTTTGCAGAGTTATGGATATATTCGGCAAGTTAATGTGCAAGTCATGGACGCAAAAGTGATGAAAAGTCTACTAATTTACGAAAACAGCGCCAAAAAGCATTGGCTGTGTAACGATCAATTTTCCAACTGATCATTTGAAAAAATTTTTGCACAGAGATGTAGCCCACGATGTTTGTTGTTCTTATGGCGACTATGAAGCCGTAAAAATTCCAGAAACCTATTCAAATTGGCATCTGTTCTTCTGGGAAAGATTTCATCCACTCGAAAATACCGATCTCACACGAAAACCTTTAGAAATGAGTAGTTGTTTACGAATCATTCGTAATAGCCTACGCAGCGCGGTGAGTTTCAATGTAATTATTATGCGGGAATGAGTAAGGCATAGATAAAGTAGGGCCAGTGCGAGCCTCTGCGAAGCAGAGGTGACGCACTGGTAATAATAATAATAATAATAATAATAATAATAATAATAATAATAATAATAATAATAATAATAATAATAATAATAATAATAATAATAATAATAATAATAATAATAATAATAATAATAATAATAATAATAATAATAATAATAATAATAATAATAATAATAATAATAATAATAATAATAATAATAATAATAATAATAATAATAATAATAATAATAATAATAATAATAATAATAATAATAATAATAATAATAATAATAATAATAATAATAATAATAATAATAATAATAATAATAATAATAATAATAATAATAATAATAATAATAATAATAATAATAATAATAATAATAATAATAATAATAATAATAATAATAATAATAATAATAATAATAATAATAATAATAATAATAATAATAATAATAATAATAATAATAATAATAATAATAATAATAATAATAATAATAATAATAATAATAATAATAATAATAATAATAATAATAATAATAATAATAATAATAATAATAATAATAATAATAATAATAATAATAATAATAATAATAATAATAATAATAATAATAATAATAATAATAATAATAATAATAATAATAATAATAATAATAATAATAATAATAATAATAATAATAATAATAATAATAATAATAATAATAATAATAATAATAATAATAATAATAATCAATTTCTCGGTTATATGAATAAAACCTTGGCAAATTGACAATTCAAGCGATCTTTTTTAACGCCATTTTCGCGAAAAATAGATTTCGACTACTCGAGCTGAGATCATTGCTTTGCGGATTTGCTTTTCAATCGAAGTCCTTGCAAAATGCTTGAATACCGCATTAGTTGCGCCAAATCCGTCTGAACCCGTTTAACACCCGATTTTTGACAAGTCCGCGTATCGGATTGGCTCGTTCTTGAGCATGGTGGACACATGCTGAAACCGTATGTTGTGCAAAATTTTGGCTCGAGACGGTGTCTGCAACTCGCTCTATAAACTCCATGACAGACAGACAAACAGACAGACGCTGGGCGCTTTATTAAAAGTCATGATGAGTGTTGAGAGTGTCGATAAGAGCCAACTTTGAGGACAAAAAGGTCTAGAAAACACTTATACTCTCCAGAATATGGACTGTGACAGGCAGCCAATTAATAAATTACAAGAAGCACAAAAGGATTTTAGAAACTTCTGAAATGATTTATTCATTCGGCTACGATATTGGTGATAAGCGAACGACGGTCTCGCCAATGAATTCTCCAGTAGCTGTGCCTGAGGCGAAACTAGCTGCCGGATCAGTTTGCCCTGAAGCCATTGCTGCATACTGAACTGTCATCTTCTCTTCAGCACATTTTGTATTCTGGAGCTATAGATACGATAACGAGGTTTAAACGCGAAAGACGTACAGCTCTCATTAATGTGATAGTAGCTTTTCCCAATTCTGGGATTGTTCCATAGGTTTCTGCTGCAGAATAATTTGAACCGGTAGGAAAAACCAGCTAAACATAAGCCAGATTATTAGCTACTATTCTAAAATCCTAAGCAAACCTTGAATGCTATCTTCCTGTCGCTATTGTTCTTGAGTTCTCTTTTTGATCCGCCAGAACCCACAAAAAGAGGATTTTGCGCCGGTACGACCATCATTGGTATTACCATAGACATTGTTAATAAATGAAACTACCGTTTGCTTGGCCAATTTCGTATTCATTGTGAAACTGTGTACCCCGTTTGTTTTCCAGACATTCGAGTAAGCCTCATAGCGTGAGGGTCGGCTGCAGCGGCAGAATAGAAAGGAAGAATTCTAATTAGTGCCTACTCTCATGCCTGATCGCGAGCTACACTATGAGGAAGCTTTCTCAGACTATACTTATGAACAATATTTCTCTTTTTTCTAATTTAAGCATTTTGTCTATATTTCACATCTTTGCACGGTACCTGAGTTCGACGTAGCAGGCTCTCCGAAGCTCCGCGGAACTCTAATAATATTCGCGCATTCTCAAATATGTTCTTGATACAAGTAACTCAAAATCGGATAACCAACTCCATTATCCAACTTTTGACAATCAAAAAAGTTATAACAGCCAACAATTCACAGAAATTCTTGGTCCAGCCTTTCACTTCGCATCAAATTACCTGCACAGAGTTGTAGCAAAGCCACGGCAGAGCTCGTAGGGAAAAGAATCGGATTTAGTCAGTTATGTTTGCGCATGTTCAACAGAACTTTTTGAGATTCTGAGAAGGCCACAAGAAGACACAAGAAATGTGAGAAAAGAAATCTTCACCTTCATATTTTGCTATGTAGCTTCGTTTTTCCAAATTTTTCTCTACTCAAACCGTTGGGTTCTTGTCCTATACATTACTGATTGTATTTATCAACACCTATCCTGACTTATAATAAGCGGCCTATTCTGTCGCTGTGTAGAGTTTTTCCGTTACGAAAGTATACTGAGAATGATTTACACCACGGGACAAAAGAGGTTCATTTTTATTCGGGTTACTTACAACTAGAGGTCAATCAACTGAGGAATGATAAACCTTTAAACAACGCTTTCCAAAATGGCCAGCGCGAACTTCCGCGAAGCAGAAATGTGCGCTGATTTTGATGATTTTGATCGGAAAACTCGTATTCCTGATGTGCGAACCATAGCACGCTCACGTTTGATCCCGTAAGACTTATCCTTCAATCCCATTTGCTTCGCTATGTTCTTCTTATAACTTGCCAAAACTCTAGTCGAGACAACCATCGGCGTTAGCACTATCTTCATGATGTCCCGCTTGAATATCCCACTTTATTTTAGAACAAACTCCACTCTCTTGTCGATTCTGTCTACTCAGGGATTCGCGCCGTGCGAGCGGTCCTCCTTTAAAGGCTAGCGTACAAGCGGCCGGCCTAAGTCTAAAGCTTCCGTGCGTGCGGCACACAGCTGAAGCTCCGTCCTAGCGGCGGGCAATGTTACCGCGCAAACGGCATGCAATACAGTTGCTCTAGCGAGCGGCCGGCAATGCGTCCGTCTTACGGTCGGCAGTACATGTTGCCGTGCAAGCGCCCGACAATGACCTCTATTTTCTGCTCACTATTTTCACACATTATGAGCGTAAACGGTACCTGTGTGAGATACGACGCAGTGTTTAGGCTGGCTAAGTACTGAGACATCGTGTTATCAACATTTTTTTTCACCAGCAAGGCTGGATGGACCTGTGTGAGGCTAAAGTTATCAAGAGGGATGGAGTGGCCCCATGAAAAGTTTGATCATTGCGCAAACAACGATCCATGTTCCCAAAATGTGAAAAGGATTAATCTGTCCAAGAAAAATGGTCAAGATATCCCATATACATTTACTTCAACAGCAAGCGAACGGCCGGCCTTCCCCGCGCAAGCGGCGAACATTAGAGACCGTGCGGGCGCCCCACGTTAACCGTTCCAACGGCCCTTGACGACCGTACAACCGCACACACCGACGAGCGATTGTAAGGTCGTCGCTGGCCGCCCGCACGGCGCGAGTCCCTGAGTAGTTCAGTCAGAGCTTTTATGTCTTAGAGTTGATTTTGATAAAAAAGATCTTGTTTCTTGAGACTGTCCTCAACTTAAAACTGACACTCCATGGTGTCGTACATCTACCAGTGTGAAGGGATCTGGAAACCACTGCGACAAATCTCCGTTATGAAGATGAATTACACTATTCTTTTTTGTAATAATCTTTTTGTAATGATCATTACCCACACCCAGGGCCCGGCACGAGTCGGTTTCTAGGGTTTCTGAAAACGAAGTCTCCCCTGATTTTCGGAAGTTTTACGAAGTCCCCTTTGACCTATCTGCTTAGGAGAAGATGAAAACTAGAAAGATTTATAGTCTGAAAAGACGAAAGATAAGAGTGAAAATCCAAATTGAAGTTGAATACTACGCACGCACAAGACTTTGGCATTAGAGCGCGATATTTAACAAAGCGAGAAGAAACGAAGGCAAAAACAAAGAAAAGGCAATGATATGAAAATGTCTTCATGCTCATGGATAGATTTTTGACCGAGGAATCCGTCCATGCTAAAAAGATCCGAAACTTATGTGAAGTGATGCAAATATATGCTCCAGACGATCTCAGATCGTCTGGTGGCCATCTAAAGACGATCTAATTTTGGAAAAGGTATTACTTCACATAAGTTCTCAAATCTTTTCACATAATACCTTTCGCAAATAATTTTCTATACATGCAATTCAATTTCGTCATATGCTTCTGTGTGCGCTGTAAACAAGCAATTTGTTTATTTAAGCCTTGCTTTCAAATCGCGCGCAGCATGTCAATCGTGTGATAACCTGTCCGAAAAGCTTGTGTTCGATTAAATAGCTTATTCTTGGTGCTCGGTTCCGACTCGTCAAAAACGATATCCCCTTTGCTGTGCCTTTGCTCAAAATTAAGTACAATATCTAAGACAGTTAGCGTTACTATTTGTACAACTTCATGTATTTTCAAGCATCTGATGGGAACTTGGGGAGCAAATTTTGCTGCAAGTTTGGCGAAGTAAAAACTGGATTCAAAACTAGTGTCATGACAGCTTATGATCCAAGCTAATTCAGTTAAAAAGAACTTTGTTCACTGAATATGAGCGAGGGGTTCAGAGTTTAATATGTCTGTAACTCATAGGACTGACAATTTACGAACGTTACATGGAGTTTCCAAAAAAGACAGTGCAAACCGTTGCATAATCAGCGCAGACGGGTGTCTCGCGAGCTTTTTGCAAGTGCAGACAATGTGATCCTTTCAATCTTTCTAGGCTAATGCGAGCTTCTGGCATTGTGAGCTTTATTCTCCAGTGTGGTAGCATGGTTACCAAAACTTCACTTCTGCTTCGCAATGACTCGAGCTAGTTATTAAAAGGGTGTTGAATTTGCATGTGCGCTCAATAACTCTTGAACATCTTTCATGGTAGTATAATAAACAAGTAGAAAATGAAATTCTTTGTTATGACACTCTCACATGCTTCCTGAAAATCGGTTAACTCTTTGAGACTACAATAATAAGAGCTCTCCATCAGTACCATTGCGTCGCCTGTGCTTGCAGAAGCTCGCGCTAAAGCATTCGTATACTTTCTTGTGCGCACTGGTGAAATCATCGTCTTGAAATGACAGCGTAATGTTGAAAATTACCGCAATTACTGATATTCATTCCAAAAGTTTTCCAGTAAGATCTGTAAATTTGAATTATAACTCTTAACTTCCAAGCAGAAAACAATGTAATCAACTTAGTCGA